TTTCAGAATAGTTTTAAATTTTCAGAAAAAAAATTATGATTGTTTTCATATACCCTACACTCTCAGGTTCCCATATTACATACAATCAAGTGGGATTTATTCCACATATGCAAGCCTGGTTCAGTATTTGAAAAGCAATCAATGTAATCTACCACACCATCAGGCTGAAGAAGCATAGGCACATGATGATATCATTTGATGCAGAAAAATCATCTGATAAAAATCTAACATCAGTCCATGATAAAACCTCTTAGCAAACTAGGAATAGTGGAGATCTTCCTCAACTTGATACAACACGTCCACAAAAAAATAAAACAGAGCTAATATCATACTTAATGGTGAGATGCTGAATATTTTCTTTTATGATGAGGAAAAAGACTAAAACCCAAAGCTCCAACAATAAGAAATGCTAATGAAGAGGTAGACCAAAAGGAACTGTGACTCTTTGCTTGTGAGAATGCAATATCATACAGCCACTTTGGAAGACAGTTTGGCAGTTTCTTACCAATCTGAATGTGTTGCTGTTAGGTGCCATGGAGTTGGATCCAACTCACAGCGACTCCATGTACAACAGAACTAAATACTTACTGCCTGGTCCTGTATCAGCCTCACAATCCTTGCTATGTCTGAGCCCATGGTTACAGCCACTGTGTCAGTCCATCTCGTGGAGGGCCTTCCCCTTTTTTGCTGATCCTCCACCTTATTTAGCATGATATCCTTCTCCAGGGAATGGTCCTTCTGACAATATGATCAAAGTAGGTGAGACAAAGTCTGGCCTTTGTCACTTTCAAGGAGCATTCCAGTTGCACTTCTCCAGAACAGATTTGTTAGTTCTTCTGGTGGTCTGAACATTGTCTTATACTATTCAACAGTCATGATCCTAGGTTTTTACCCAACTGCTTTGAAAACTTATGTTTACACAAAAACCTGCACGTTTAAAAAAAAAAAAAAACACTGCCATCGAGTTGATTCTGACTCATAGTGACCTCCATTGGGTTTCCAAGGTGGTAAATCTTTATGGAAGTAGATTGCCCAGTCTTCCTTCCATGGAGTGGCTAGTGGATTTGAACCATCAACCTTCTGGTCAGCAGTCAGATGCCTTAGGCACTGTGCTACCAGATCTGCTTACATCTTAGCATCTTTATTCATAATTTTAAAAACTGGAAGCAAATAAGATGTCCTTCAATAGGGAAATGAATAAACAAACTCTGGTGTATCCATACAATGGAATTTTATGCTACAATAAAAGGAATGAGTTATTAAGCCATACAAATACATGGATTAATCTTAAATGCATATCGATTTCTTTAAATTTCATTGATTTCTCTTCTAATTTTCATTATTTCTTTTCTTCTTCTTCTTTCAGTTTAAATTTTTCTTCTTTCTCCAGATTAGATGCATTATTTTTACTACCTAGGGTTTTTTATTTATTTGTTCATTCATTCATTTAACTCATCTTTCAAGCTGAAACAGAAGTTAAAGGAAAAAAAAAAATAGAGGTAAGAGTATGGGCAAGGATCCAATTTGAAGTTGTGGACACAGCAGTAACCAGAAAACTAATCAGGTGTACATGAAGAAAAAC